TACTTGAAGCGATCAGAGTGTCGGCGTGCACTTGCACCGCCACTTTGGGGTTTTTGTGCACACTTACGATCATAACGCATCACCCATGTCGATGGTTCCTTTTAGGTATTGGAATATATTCTTGTACCATTCCAATGATGTTGCATTGGCGTCAAGTTAAATCTAGCTAACAAGTTCACTGAGAATGCATTATATGGTTGAGTACATTGTATTAAGTACAATAATGCACCTATTGCACTTAGATAGGGAATTTCAGCTCCCAAAATCTCTTCGTCGTCATCTTTTGGACGAGATGGATCTTTCCTTATATCCAAGCTTCGACCGTTTTTGGGAGTGCTAGTCTGATGCGCTTATCCATATTAAATCGTCTAAGCATTTTTTAGATATAAGCGGATTGGTGGATAAGGATTTCACAAGCTCAGTGTTCTAGTTCTATACCTAGACAAAAACCGAGTTTTCCCAAGATCTTTCATCTCAAATTCAGATTTTAAATAACTTGCAGTAACTCTTATTTCATCAAGAGTACCTATTATGTTCATATCATCAAAATATACAACTATGATTAAAAATCCGTAACTTGACTTTTTTTTTATAAAAACGCAAGGGCACAATTCGTCATTCTTATATTCATTCCCAGTCAAGTATTCACTTAGACGGGTATACCACATTCGTCGGGATTGTTTTAATCCGTAGAGTAGGCATGGGAATGGGACGGGGACCTCAATCCTCATTCCCGTCCCGATTACTTATCTTTGTCCTTGTCCCCATCCCCACCTGGGAATATAATCACATCCACATTCACATCCCCATCTCCAACGGGGAAACGATGATTTTTTTTCGTTTATGTAAGTTATTTTAAATTATATATGTTAGAGACCATACATGTTTAAATCTAAAACATTTTCAATAAACCTAAAACCAAAATGAATTTAATTTAATACAAAAAAATCACAACATCATATAAGAATTAATAACCTAAAAAAATTAATTTAATCCAAAAAAACTTAAAGTCACATAAATATATTGAGTAATATAAAACCATATCAAGTAATGTACAAAACTTATCGAGTAATTGTATTTTGACATGACATCCAAAATATTACATATTAACATCCAAAAAATAACAGTTTTAGATTATAAACCTAATTAGGAAATAGGAACTTATGAATTACCGATTTAGTTTAAATAAATAATATATCTATCTATATATATATATGTATAGGGGCCTAATCAAATGAGAACTAATTAGTTTGTGGTAACCGTGAGATCCAATCTCAACCACAAATCAATAGATAAATTAGGAAATTTATAATTTTGGTAATTTTTAATTAAAATTTTAATGCAAGGGCGTTTTAGGTATTTTCTCTCCTCTCTCCTATCTCCTCTCTTCTTTCTCCATCCCTCGGCCTCCAGCCACCGTTCTCCGGCCACCGTCCTCCGTGATACCATAGTGGTATCACAATGCATCTTATATGTGATTGGGTATCACACTGTGGTCGTTTGTGCGGTCGATTGGATATGTAACACAGTGGTATCACAAGGCATCTTATATGTGCTTGAGTATCACACTGTGGTATCACCGGAGGACGGTGGCCGGAGGCCAGAGGGCGGTGGTCGGAAGACGGGTATGGAGAGAGAAGAGATGAGAGATGAGAGAAAATAACTAAAATGTCCTTGCATTAAAATTTTAATTAAAACTTACCAAAATTATAAATTTCCTAATTTATCTATTGATTTATGGTTGAGATTGGATTTCACGGCTACCACAAACTAGCCAGTTCTCCCTTGAATGGGCCCCTATATGTATATACATATATATATATACATATATATATATATATATGTGTAATTTATTAATTGATATATAACGAGTAGGGGGGGGGGGGGGACGTAGAGTACGATATATGTCCCGTCCCCATCCCCGGTTTGAGACAAATAGGGATCCCCCTAATGACAGGAATATTGTCTCATCAAAGTGACAATCCACAAATCTTGCGGTAAATAGATCACCCGTCAAGGATGCTAAATAGAGGATAATTGTTGGGGATAAATATCCAACATATATACTTAATCGTCTTTGAGGACCCATTTTTAGTGTGTTGTAAGGACGCAATTGGCACATATATTGCACAACCAAATATGCGTAAATGTGAAATATCATGCTCATATCCAGTTATCAACTGGTACTCATAAAATGGTTGGCTAGCAGTGGGTCTAAAACGAATAAGTAGTGTTGTATCCGAGCTCTTGGTTCCAGGACGCTTTCTGACTAAGTCCTCTTGACTAGAGCAAGAGGCTTTTTGCTTACACTTTCAAGTAAATAATCTAACAATACCATTAGCTCGGAAGGTTAAGAATCATGAATATTCCTGAATCTTCTTTTCACTGCATCCCATAGTTCTTGTGGGTTTTCGATTGAAGATACTCCCACCGAATGCTAGGATCGATGTGTCGTCTCAAGAATATTAAGGCATATACGTGTACCTTTTCTGATGGCTTTATTTTAGGGTCAGTAGGAGGTTGATTGTGTAGCTGTAGTCCTTTCCAATGAAGGTAGTCTCTACATCTGATACCAATATGTGGTATTCAAGTCTTTCCGAATCCAAAATATCAAATTCGGGATGATTTGGTTCAACCATCTACATAAATAAGAGATAAGATATTTTCTTTTGTGAATACAAAAAAGAAAATTATAATGCACGTGAAATTTCATTATCATGGCGGTATAGGGTTGTTAAATATTGGTATTTTCAACATCTTCTTTTGTTGATCATGCTATATTAGTATTTCAGTATTCGAAAATAAATCGCAAAGACATTTTTAAATTTCCAGGTAGGAGGGAATCACATGGATTACTTAAGTCACTACAACCTTAGGGCTATTTACACCCGTTTGACAAAATCTTTTAACGTCATGCAATTATGATCTTTAAAGCAAACAATTACAATTTTGATATGATTTTTCTCTATTATTATTTTACAAACGGAACTTTTAGTAATTAAGTTTAATATTAGGTGTGATAGGATTTTAATGAGCTTTGGCATGAGGCCAAAAACAAAACATATATAAAGGAGTGTAACTCCCAAAATAAATTTAGTTATAAAAAGTTATGAGTTAAGGTGAATATGGGAATATTTATCTAATACGATAGGTTGCCATATGTCCTTATATGTGGGATTTCTTTTTATGAACCCTAATTCTTTTCACTTTTATCGCTGCTAATCATCTATTTCCAGATCTAAGGAAGAGACCTTTTAATGGGTTCAACCATAACTACAGGTTGAGTTTTATCAAAACGCCATATATATTTCAAGGTTTCTACATGATGATTTACCTACCCATTGATCTTAGATTTTTTTCAATCATATCTACTATGAGGCCTTACACAGAGAAAAAAAAAGGCAACCAAGTTCGAAACTCGTCGGATTTCATCAAACTAATTACTATTGAGCAAAGGGTTTATAAAAACAAAAAGAAAAATAAGGTACATAACTGATTTGTACATAAAGTTTTGGTATTTGAATTCTGTATAGAAAAAAGATTCATCTATGAAGTTATTTTTAATTCCTACTTGTAAGTATTTTTAATTCCTGGTAGTTTTGATTTTTGGAGCCAAGCTCAAACCAATCAGGTACCACCCTTATGGTTAAACAAGTGTTTTTATATAATTGGAATAAATTTTTTCACTTAGCACTCAACCAAGAGTATAATTATGGCTTTGAAAAAGTAGAAAAAAGATCAATTAAGAGAGCTATGCATACAAATAATAAAACTTTAACAAGAAACATAGCAGAAAATTATTAGTCGATTTAATCATTAGCAGTAAATATGAATATTATGTAACAGGATTGCTTACTTAATTCGTGATATCATAAATCAGCAGCAGCAAACTGATTGAGCATACATGCTGATAACATGTTATAGAAAATCGAAAAATCATTAATTTTCATTAATCATAATCCCTTTAAATAGGAGAGATTTCAAAGAGATAACCATGAAATACATAATTCTAATATGTCTATCTCTATTTCTATATATCTCTATCGTCATATCCTTTTGACAATGACACATTTATCCTACAACAATATAAAGTATTTCAAAAGATTTATCTATCATTGAGAAATATCCTAAATTTATAATTTTACAAGAAAACTGTTAATTTTAATATCCAATGCTGACGTGATGTAGATGAACGTAACGTGTTTTTGAAATTGTATTTTCCAAAATAAACCCTTATTAAACTATAAATTTTTAAACAGGTGTATTTTAAAGACATGTTCCGTCTTCAATTATTTTGTTTTCCACTCGATACATTTATGTGAAGATTTGTATCTCGCCTTACAACTTACCTAATCTTCTTTGAGTACTTAAACGTATCAAAAATCTTTCCATTCTCTTATAACTCAAACATCTTTTAATATATGTTCAGGAATCTGATACGATTTATATGTATATCAGTATATAAAACCGACATCACTATCCACTTTTAATTTTACACAAGGCCCATTTCGTTTTCAATTCTCCTCTAGGGGTGAATGGCCATGTTACGTAGGAGGACCATCCATGTGACTTCAAAGGACTCCTTCCAAAATATGTCACAATGCAAATCCATAATAATCTATAAACAGAAAGTTAGTGCACTTTTTACATCATCATCTCCTACATTACATGTCCTCAATTTTCCAATTAATTTTTATATGATATTAATGATTATTATGTTAATTTGATTTAATTATTATGCAAAATTGATGGGTATTATTGTAGTGCGGATCAGCTTGAGTCCAGCTAAGAACACACAGAGGTTTGTAAGCAGGTGTCACGTGCTTCCCCCACCCCACGACAATAATGACCAATCAACTGTTCCAGAGTCCCCCATTCGTAATTATGCAAAACTCCAGGGGGCCTTCTTCTTAATTCCATGTATATAGACACACTCAGAAACCACTCAACTACATTAATGCATTGGGCTATCCCTACAAACTTAAAGTTGAAAGAGGAGAAATGGAAGTTACTGGAGTATATTTAGTGGTGGCAGTGCTTGTCGCCGCCGTGAGCTCTACCGTCGTCAACTCCTGTCCACCGTCAGACCGGGAAGCGTTGTTGGCGTTCAAGTCCGCCTTGAATGAGCCGTACTTGGGCATCTTTAAGACCTGGGCCGGCACCGACTGCTGCACTAACTGGTATGGTGTCAGCTGCGACCCGACTGACAGCCGGGTCAATGACATTAACCTACGAGGCGAGTCGGAAGACAAGATTTTCGAGAGAGCCGGCCGGTCCGGTTATATGACCGGTTCATTGTCGCCTTCTATCTGTTCGTTGGACCGGCTTACGACGCTTGTGGTCGCCGACTGGAAGGGAATTTCTGGTGAGATACCTGCGTGTCTCACTTCTCTCCCTCACCTCCGTATCCTAGACCTCATCGGAAACCAGATCACCGGCAAAATCCCTGCCGACATCGGAAAGTTAGGAAAACTCACTGTTCTGAACGTTGCTGACAACAAAATCAGTGGTGAGATCCCGTCGTCGATTGTGAACCTTGGGAGTCTAATGCACCTAGATCTAAGCAACAATCAAATCACCGGCGTAATCCCGGCGGATCTTGGAAAGCTATCTATGATGAGCAGGGCTCTACTAAACCGCAACCAAATTACCGGTTCTATCCCGAGCTCAATTGCCGGCATTTACCGTCTCGCGGACTTGGATCTGTCGATGAACAGGATCTCCGGTTCAATTCCTGCTCAACTCGGCTCAATGCAGGTCCTCTCCACACTCAACTTAGACAGCAACCAAATCACCGGCGAAATTCCTGTAAGTCTACTAAGCAACACTGGTCTAAACATCGTGAACCTGAGCCGGAACTCTCTCGACGGCTACTTGCCGGACGTATTCACTCCGCGAACGTACTTTTCCGTACTGGACTTGTCGTTCAACAAATTGAAAGGCTCGATACCGAAATCTTTATCGGCGGCGAAGTACATCGGACATTTGGACCTCAGCAATAACCACCTATGTGGTTCGATTCCGATGGGATTCCCATTCGATCACCTCGAAGCGTCGTCGTTTACCAACAATGACTGCCTCTGTGGGTCGCCGCTCATGCGGGTTTGCTAGTACCACGACGTCGTATCCTGTTCCGGTTCATTGATTACCGTTACTTAACGGTGCACAATATGTGTGCGCTTTGTGGTTTATTTTTTTTAAATAAAAATTAAAAAACTTATCCAATATTAAGAAATGTTAATATACGTCGTCGGGATGAACGTGAAGATGTGACACGTAGGATTCTGTATATCTAAGGACTATTTTGTAATTTTTACCCCGGTTGGGTAGATCTACGTGTAATTGGTTGCTTCTTGAATCTTGATAATGAACATCTCATAATAGAGTCAAAAAATAGCTACTAATTAATTTATATATGTATTATTCAAAATATTAAATATGATATTTGATTTTTAATTAATTAAAAATTACTATTATCACTTTGAATTTTTTTTATTAACCTGGATATCCAATCTGCTATACGAGTCGACTAATTCTAGGATGACTATATGCTTTGCAGATAGCCTGAAGTCACCGTATTTGAACTTTCATGGCCACAAGGGGATTTTTATTTCTTACTGGATTTGAATCTGAGACCTCCTAATACTTTTAACCTTTGGAACCAAACTTACACTTTGAATTTTATCTTAACGTACATTGATTTATATCTCAAAATCATATAACTGAAACTTGTATCATTATTTTGATATGGCCGGACTTATTTTAGGGCATACAATGCAACCGACTATTTTGGCAAAAATAGGACACTGTATCCACAAAACAAGGAAGCCACTAACAAACTAATGATAATTTTGTGAAAAATTTCTATAACTTTGGTTTTTATACTAAATGATGTCTATGACTTGAAAAAAACTCTTAGATCCTTCTTTGTATTTCGATATGGACTATCATTTATATTCATATGACTTATTATCAAAGAGGGACCTATATTTTTTTTTCAAGTTGTGACATCATTTGACTATAAGAAACTCATAGGCATATTTTACATAAAATAATCATTGATCTGTTGGTTAGTTTATTTTTTTAATTTTTTCATATGTGGGTCCTTGTATTCATGTCTTTTATTGCAAAAAAAATTCAGAAACATAATAAATTTGAAATTAAAAGCTAAAAACTAAGAAAATGTCATTAACTAAATTTGAACTCAGGTCTAAGGTGGAAGAAGAGTCTTGCAAACCAATTTTACTAAGGGAAACTTGTGTCTTTATTGTAGTTTCATAATATATACAGTGACACACAATATATTAATACGGTGACACTTTCAAGACCCTAATTTTTTTACACTTTGACCGAAGAACAAAACGATGGCTTGTGTCACCGTATGTACGTCATTTGATCCATCCTTGCTTATTATTACCAGGCACCCAACACCGACGCATGGAGTTAAAATAATAGTAGGTTCAAGTTGGCTTGATTTTTTTTCCAGTCTACAACATGTTTCTCTTTAATATTTAAAAAAACATAAAATTTTAAATTCAGATATAACAAAAATAAATGAATAGTGGAAGAAAAACATAAATTCAAAATTTTAAAATCATTTAAATGGTTTTGTGTCATTCAAATCAATCAGTTATTCAATCAATAAAACTACTGAAAATTTAATAAACATCAACTGCGAAATATATTTTAACTTCAAGAAATACCATATACAATTACACAAACGTAATAATTTTGACCAATTATAAAAAGGTAATCGATTTTGATTATATTTAATTTCAAGAAGTGAAATGTGTAATATTATTAGAAAACAGTCTAAAATAAAATTAGTCACTCAATGTATATTCAAATACTTACTACAACCTCCTGTATAATATATAGTATAAATTTTGTAGTTTTATAAGTTAAGATTTATAAAATTAAAAAAAAAAAAACAGTAACAAATTAAGCTTTTCAAACCCATTTCTTTTTACCCCTGTGTTAAAAGAATTACACTCAATGGAATCTATTACTTAACGAATTAGTCATGCATGAGTGTTTACTTGTATCTTATTCATTAAGGTGGTTGGTTACCTAAGCACTCAACCACATGGGTTACATGGGACGAGCTTAATCCATTAAGAGATAACCTTTTCATATCTTACCGTTCTCTCGATGTAGCCATCCCTAGGATCTATATATGTCCCTCTTTTCGATACTCTGTTGCAAACTCCTCATCCTCTTCCTCTCTGTAGTCGTTGGCCTTATCCCTTGTCACGTCATCACAGTCTTCTCCTTTCCTTGACGTCGTCATCACCTTCTCCTCCTTTGTCGTGTGTTGCTCCTCTTTGCCTTCCATTACTACTACTCTTCGTCTTTTTCATCGTCACTCATAAAAAACCTAAAAGCCTCTCTCTCTCTCTCTCTCTCTCTCTTTGTCTCTATTTATCTCAACTTTTACTAAGAACCATAGAAATTAAACATCAACGTCTTTCGCTACCGCTCCTCTCCCCATTTCTTCGTTATCTTTCACTACTGCTTGGGATTTTCTATTGATTGTCTACTCATCTTTACATGACTCTTTAATTTAACTATTTTGTTCCATTTCCGTATGCATTCTTGTTAAATGAGTATGAGGTCGATGTTTGAGTATGTTAATTGTCAAAGATAACGATTATTATTTATAATGAGGATGATATTCAATTGAGTATTCTTCATTGTTCTGTTGCTTATAATTATGTTAATGAGGAAGAAATTTCTATGTCATGTACGGACAAAGACATGTGTTAAATAAAAATAAAAACAAACAGTAAAAATGGTTAAGATAATTTATTAAGATTTCTTAGACAATAAATAAATAAAATACTCATAATAAATCAATTTATTTTATATAAACAAGTACATACAACCCTTGTAAGAAAAACGCTAAACAACCATTTACATGTCTTAGGAGGTGTTTGAGATTGCTTATTTAAAATAACTTATGTTTTTTTTTTGTAAAAGTGTTTATTAACTTATGTGGTATCAAATCGGAGTTAAATAAAACAAGGTTAAAATTGTAAACTGGTAATAAGCAGTTTTTCATAAGTCAGGAATGATTAACTTATCAAAAACAACTTATTACCTGTTTGGCACCGGTATAAACAGTTTTTTTTCTTATCCAAATACCAGAAAACAACTTATCACCGGACGAAAATAAATTAAAAAACAACTTTTATAAGCAATCATACACACCCCTTAATCAATTACTTTTCATATGTGACCCATTTATTTTAACATCTTTTTAAGACAGCACAAAATGTGGGAAATCATGCAGTAAAAAGGTAATAAAAAGTGATGGTCACAAGTCATGTGAGTAATGAATTGCTTTTGGAGAGCAACCCACTACTCCCAAGATTTGATGGTACTTGCTCCCTTTTTTCCATCACTTATTTATTTCAATGGGTGGGCTAATAGCCCACCATGACTTATCATCCTCATCACTACATAGCTTTCACAATGATTTGTTTTATGATTTTTTGTGTTTTGTTATACTTTTGTTATTATTTAATTAATATTTATTATTTATTTTATTTTTTGTTTTTTATTTATTTATATTATATTTTAATTAATATAGATTATTAATAAATATATATTATTTATTTTATTTTCT